CAGAGAATGAAATGAAGGCCAGACCTTGAACAAAGGTGGACACATAAGGAGAATTAGTCAGGTGGGCCCTGGAGAGGCAGGGCGTTTGTGGGATTCCTAATGAAGTAGAAGGGATGCACAGAAGTCCACACAAGGTGGGAAGGTTCAGGCTGCTGGGAATTTGGAGCTAGGATTAAGAGGACAGTTCTGGGCTAATAAAATAAAAACTCTGGGATCCTTTGAAATGAGAACACTTATATTCATAAGCTCAACATTACCTGCTCACAGGTAAAATGGTTTTGACCCTGGCCCTGTCCAGGGGATCCATTAATCCAAACTCACCTCATGCATGAGAGCCCTTAGAAGTTTCAAGCCAATTCCTTTTGTGAACCCCCAAGAAATGAAATATAGGATTTCAGTCTGGATCAGCTTCTGGAAGCCCAAGTGGACCCAGAGAAGCCATTACCAACAAAGCAAGAGTCATTATGTATTGAGTGCTGACTTGGGCGCCACACTCAGGGGTACACACCCAGTGCTCCTCATGCCACTAAGTTTTCCAACAATGCCAAGGTCCAGATGTCACGGAGAGGGAAAAGGGTGCCAAGAAAGCAGAAGCAACTTATCCAGCCATAGCTACCAAATGACAGAGACCAGGATTGTAGGACAGAGTGAATTACAAAAGCTGTGCTCAGCGACTCAATGGCATAGATCTCGCAGGGACGACAGGCATACACAGGTTAGCAAGTGCAGCCTGCTCACATTGATGTCCCTGCACTGCCATGGGAGGCTGTATGTTTCCAGATGACTGAAACATTCTGCATGAAGAATGGCTTCCGGGTCCCTGGCCATGCTCTTTGAGGTCCCTTGAATGTGCTCTAGGTTGAGTGTGGTTATCTAGAAGTGTATGTATGAGTGTATGAATGTATATGTATGTGTACATATGTGTGTGTGTGTGTGTGTGTGTGTGTGTGTGTGTGTTGCTGGGAATGAACTCAGGGCCTTGCACATGTTAAGAGCACACTTTACCACTGACCTATATAACCCAAGGCTGGAGAAGAGCTTTAGAAAATATTCGGAACCAATGCATCCCAGATACATTATCTTTTTGGTTCCCTATTGCTTATTCCTATGAACTGAAATAACTCTGTCTATAATATTTACTTATACTTCTTGCTCTACTCATTCTTTTATTTTTTCCTTTCTTTATCTTGTTCTGTTTTAGACGAGTGGAAATTCAAGCTTAGAGAGAAAAGTAGACTTGAATTGGATAACTCAGAGCCTGAGAGGCTGAGCAAGGTTTCAAACCAAGAAACAGGCTTCCAGAGTCAAAACTTCTCCAGAGTTGTGCAGCCTGACAACTCACAAAGACAAAACTTCTCATTAAGCTGAAAACGAAATTGCCTAAGCTTCTCGTTCCACACCATATGGCTGAGTCCCAGCTGACAGGAAGCTCATTTCTGCAGCACCCTTGGCTCATTTCACCAAGTAGGTTGATGCAAGATTTGTGGGGTGGACATTTCCAAATCTTTTTCACACTGGTAGCAGCAGTGGAGTTTATTTTGATGCTTTTCTTCTTCATTTTTACATAAGAAAAGCAAATTCTCCTAATGATGGAGAGAGACAGGCTTTATCATGTATCATTCTCTAAGCAAACTATGACAAATAAGCACAAACCACAACAAAATATCCACCTGCATTGAAGTGACCCCAAGCTACAATCATATTCCAATATTGTCTAAGTAGCTGTGGGGCAGGGGGAATCTGTAAATGAGTTTTGTACAGAGTTTTGTACAAGATTTTGTACAATAAGGGTTTTGTGCAATAAGATTAAGCCAAAGTACTTGGACATTTAGAATTATTCAGCAACTGTTTTTGCAAAGACAGATTTTAATGTAGTGAAGTGACTCAGAAAGCACCAAGCAACTAATGGGAAGTTGTCAAAGCCACTTTTCCAAAGTGATCCTGGTGTGAGATAGTGTCACTTCTCTCCCTGGACAATTATTTTAGAACTAGTAACGTAAAGTCCTCTGGAACAAGGGGACCACCTGAAAATTTGTGCTCCCCTGCCTCACCTACAATTAATGTGAAAAAAATGTCATTTTTACATACAGAGAAAAATATCAACTGTGAGAATGGAGAAAGTCTTAGACTAATATATAGTGTGTGAGAAATGCCATGAGGCTGGGGTCCATGGGCAGGATTTGTACTCAGGTCCTAATTCTTACTGGCACTTGGTCTTAGGCAAATTTATTCACCTTTTCAAGACCTAGTTTCCTCATTTGAAAATGGTTTAATGAGAGGAGTCAGCAAAGAATGGTGCCTTCAAGTAAAGCGCTCTGCATACAAAGCAGCAGGCAGGGGATGCTGGCTCTCATGAGTCTAACCATGGCTCACCTCTCCTATGATTCAACCCCTTTCTGGGACCTGAAATATAGGCATGACAATGATATCACAAGGCAATTTATTAGGTCTAAATTTAATAATGCGTTCAAAGCATTGCACCCAGATCATAGCAAGTGGTCCAGAGAATTGTTTTGAAAGATAATCTACTTATCAGGTTTTAAAAATTAGTTCTAAGCAGTCCATACAAAGGGCGGAAAGAATGAAACTACACAGGTAAGATTCCCATATCTGACCTCTCTGCCCCAAATCCTTGGTGATATTCCAGAGCAATCTTGCACTTTTATCTTTCTTATTTACTGGGGCTATATATGAAATGTTGTTCAGTTTCTGTCCCTGAAAACATTGGAAACTTCTCCAGGAAACTCTCATGATTAGAATGGGCCCTAAAAGAAAGGCAACGGATCTAGGTGACACCACTGCTGAGCCACGGGCCAGGAACTAGATTCCCTGGCCTCACTTCCTCTCCTCCCTTCAGCCCCTATGAATGGCCAGTTCCGCCTTCTGAATCTGCTGAGCTGGTGGTGCTGAAGTTGAGAGACTGAGAGAGCAGAGAATAATGGGGCTAGTATAAGCAACAGGGACAATAATCCAGCAAAGTTGGAGAGAAGAGGGTCGGGATGGAATGTGAGTGTTAGACTAGGCACTTGAAATAAGCCATGTCTGAGAGGCTGGTGGAATATCCAGTCTAAGAGGAAGATCTAGCTGTCAGAGCTGGAGATCTGAGTCATCCAACAAGGACATTAGATGTGAATGTGTATTTTACGAGAGAGAGAGAGAGAGAGAGAGAGAGAGAGAGAGAGAGAGAGAGAAGGAAAGAGAGTGAGCGTGCAAACCCCAAATGTGCATGCTAGCTCATGCAAGAACAAATTGACTGAGGGCTGAAGTGATAGCCAGGAGGATGAAAGTCATGGAACTGAAAGATGCGGAGGGCAAATAATAATGCAGGGAAGAAGTAATTTCAACTAGAAAGAACTTAGAATAATAATAACTTAAGATAACAATAGCTAGCATTTACTGAGTACTTAATGCTTTAGTCAACATATTACATATACTATTTCATTCAATCTCCCCAACAATCTGGAAAGATCAATATTTCTGCTGAGCCAATTAAATAGGTTAAACAGGTACAGAGAGTTGAAACCACAAGCATAAGGTCACAGAGGTAGTAAAAGACAGAGATGGAGTTAAAAATCACAAAGGGTTCATCTCAGAGCTTGAGCTAGGAACCACCATGCTACACTGAATACTATGGAACAGAAGAAGGGAAAACAGTGGGTATTCACAGTGGCCCAAACAGCAGCAATCAGTGATTGAGTCCTATTGTGCACAGGCACTGTGTTAAGTGCATCGAACATGGTCTCATTTAACCCTGCCCACGACTTGATATGCCAATTGTTCTTAACCTAGTGGAGCAGAAAAGGAAACTGTCTCAGTGATGTCAGGAACTTGCCCAAAGACACACAACTCGTAGGTGCCAGCAGGGGTTAAAAGCCAGGTTCACTCCAATATGAGCACCCCTACCAAGCTGGGCTATTCCCAGTGTATAGTCATAGAACAATCATTTGTTGTATGTTCCCAATTCAACGATTCCCAAAGTGGCAAAACAGGAAAGTTGGCAAATATTTTAACAATAAACTTGCAGGTTCTTCCACCTTAGCTTATAATCCAATATGTCAGAGATGGATCTACGGACCTCAACTTTTCAAGTTTCCCAGATGATTCTTAATTTACAACCAGGTTTACAGATCACTGTACCATGTATACAATCTTTTTTTTTTTTAATAAATCCTGGAGAATTAACAGATGGATGCTTTACCACTGAGCCACATCCCTAGCCTTTTTTATTTTTTTGTGTTGAGAAGGGGGTCTTACTAAATTGCTGAGGTGGGCCTCAGACTTAACAATCGTCCTGTCTTGGCCTCCTGAGTCACTAGGATTATAGGCATGAATCACCCTGCCTGGCTCACCATGTATAGAATCTTGACTATTTCAGGCAAAACTGTCAGTTTGTGAGGACAGCATATACTCTATTATCATTTTTGGACTGACCACCCATCCAAGTCAAAGCTCAGAGCTGGAAGATGCGCCAAGATGACGTCATGGAATGAGAAACTTTCACCAGGGGGCCAGGCTCTAGGGAGATTCAACTGCCTCACTGTAAAAGAATCCAGCAAATTGGCCTTGTTTCCTTTTTTGGACACCAATTTGCTTAGTTTGGACTGATGTAACAAAGTACCACAGACTGGCTGGCTTACGACACCATTACTGGAGGCTGAGGACTGAGATCAGGTCTCAGCCTGTTTGGGTTCTGGCGAGGGCCCCCTTCAACTGTCAGCTTCTCATCGTAACCTCATATGGCAAGAGAGAGGGGGCACGAGAGCACACAGGAGTAACTCTTCATTCCCTCCTATGGGCACTACATAAGTACAATGCATAAAGGTTCCACTCTGAAGACCTAATAAACTTACAAAGGCACCACCTCCAAATACTGTCACATTGGGGTATACATATTTTATAGGGACAAAATATGTATACATTTGATCCATGGTACCATTTCAGTTTTCCTTTAAAATATGTATGGCAGCATCAAACCAATTACATGTTGAAAATTTCCTTACCTAAAACTCTTAATCTCTCAGCTCCTACTACCACCTCATTGTCATCTGCAGAGAAGAGCAATTTCCCAGAAACAGTTTTTACTTCAAACTTTTTGCCGTAAGCTTCTACAGCTTTTGGACCTAAGAGAGGGAGGAAGAAAAGAAGGAAGTATGTTAGTTTCACTGCAATTGGACTGCTTTTCATAGAACATATGCATCTGACAAAATTGTGTTGGACTTTAATGTTAAGTGGATTGGTTTTCAGAAACCAAGCGTGAAAATCAGCCTATTGACCTGAGTCATCTCTTGTCAATTACGTTTAATGATGGGTTCTCAGGCTATAATTTTAAAGACCATCACATCCTCCTTCCAAACTAATGCTCAAATGAAATTTCTCTCAGCTAACCACCAAATCAGTGGCAGAGTTGTAGATTCTTGGTTGAATATGTCAAGGCCCAAGAGGCTTACCCCCTCTTAAGTTGATCATCCACCTTCAGCTGCCCTAATGTTCAAAAGGGCTCCTTTAAATTTAGCTGAAATCTGCCTCCTTTTGTAGCCTTGACCCAGTGGCTGTGTGTGAACTAAGACAAGTCTATTTCCTCACTAGATAGATCATTTCCTGGCAGAGATGGCTCTAAAATATTGTAATTAATTGCTTTAGAAATTGTTGAATCTTTCATGTCAGAAAGTCATTCAATAAAAAATAAATTTTGAGTTTATTATATGACAACAGAGGCTATTCTTGAGGGTGGGGTATCTGCAATAGTACGTAGGGAAGACTCACTCCTGATCCCATGTATCTGCCTGCTGATGGGCAAATATTGATACAAATTTAACAATCTGCTAACCAACAAACAAAAAATTGCAGAGAGTTTTAGGTACTATACAAAAACAAATTCACATGCCAGAATTTCTAAAAGGAAAACATTTCAGTCCACCTGAGCTGGATCTACCAGGTAGCTCTCATAAAGCATCTGAAAAATCCCGTGGTGTGTTCATCCTCATGGAACCTAGTTCTGATCAAAAGGAATTTATCTTTTGGTCTTTGAACTCCTATAGTAAAATTTGGTGGTAGTGTCCAAAAATCTTGTATTTTCCCCCAAATGCCCAGGAGATTTGGGTGTGGCATTTTTGCTGCTGTCTTGTTAGTGTTCATTAGACTATTACTTCATAACATGTAGCAAAGAAAGGGTCCTCAGTGCCTAACAGCCAAAGACCCATGAAGAACACACCTGGAGGTGAACTAGCTCCATTTCTTATTCACTGCAGGGAGGTGAAGGTGTGTGGTGGGTAACCACGAGGCATTTTGTTAAACAGCTGCTAGGACTCTTTAGGTTTTAGCCTCGTGTTAGGTTATTTTCAGGAAAAGTTAAGAAAGCAAGACAGATTAAATCCTTTCAGAAGATCGACTAACGTTAGGACAGGTATCTTAATAAATCTTATCTAGAAGTGGGGAAGCCCAGAGCAATGCTAAAATGGCCACGAATAAAGAAACTTCAGTTGATCATAGTCACTAGGATGTGGTCTTTTGGTTTGAGAATGGTTGTTATATTTTTGTCTGTGTTCAGACATGATCAGAGTTGTCTTGGCTTTTGTGTGCATGTGTTTTGTCTGATCTGGATTCATCACGGCCATGAAATGTCCCTGTCTGAAGATACTCTGTGAAATTATTCATGCTCAGGAAGGGGAGCAATGAAACCTGACAAATAGTGTCAGGTCAGCCCTTGGACATCTGAGGCAGCTTTGCTCTTGGTCAAGAATATTGGAACAGGAATCAAGAGGCATGAATTATGTACCAATGCTCTCAAATTTTTTGGTGCTGCGACTTTGGATAAGTCACTTGATCTTTGTGAATCTCGGTGTCTGCATCTATAAAACGACTATCAGGAGGGCTCAGGGTGGGGTAGCTCAGTGGTAGAGTGCTTGCTTGCTTATTATGCACAAGATCCTGGATTCAACCTTCAGTACCATTAGAAAAAGAAAATAATGAATACCAACGATCTTCTCTCTGTATCTCATAGAATCATAGAAAGTTGGAAAGGATCAAATAATATAGAATTCAGAAAAAGAACTCCGTAGGTGGAAAAATGCTATGAAATGTGAAGGCTGTTCATGTAGTTCCCGTGGTCATCTCCATCACCATTACCAGTTTTCGACTGCAGTGGTGGTGATGCATTGAAAATGATGAATGATGAAGCCTCTCGGGGCACTTTCCTCATTCACATAATCATATCAATTTGGCAGACAATCATCTCTTACAAGTGCATTCACGGCTGGCCCCCTGATGCACAAAGAAGGGACATTGGAAAGGCTCTTTAATGTTTCAGAGATGGAAACGGCAGAGATTGTACAGAATTTACAAGCAGCCTGGGTCCTGGGTGTCATCTTTTATGAGCTCAACTGCATGTGGTAGGTGAGGAGAGCTGGCAGTGAAGACCTAGTGAGCTCTCCCAAGGGCGCCCAGGGAGCCAATGGCAGACCTGAGTCTGGAATCCAGCTCTCAGAGTTGTTCCACGGCAGAAGAATATGTCTGATTGTCCAGAAAGGAGAAGAGGATTGGGTAACATGTCCAAAAGAGCAAGGAGATGGGATTCATGAAGAAGAGAGAAAGCAGAAAAGCAGAGATGATACCAGAGGGGGATCTTAAAAGAACAGAGATATGGAGTGAAGGATGTGAATTAAGGATGTCTGTAGTAGCTAAGATGTAGCTCTCTTCTTGACTGCATCTTCAAGAAAACTGTTGCTTGTCAATACTTTAGGGACATTACCATTTTGGGAGGTTGGGGATGAGAATGTAATGAAGTATTAATGATGAACGAACGACTTCAGGATGGGCAGAGAGTTAGTGCAGTTTGCCCATTTTGGATCTAGTCACATGGCAAAGTGAGGGCATTCCAGGAGGACACAGATGCTTGGACTTGGCCTCTGTGGACCTGCACAAGATGATCCAAACTGGCGGCCTGGGGAGATAAGAGTCCTTTCCTGTGTATGGACTGAGATTACTCTGACTCATTAAACATCTGTGAGACTTACAGGGGAATGCATTCAAGAGACCCTAGCAATCAGAAAGTACAAAGCACAGTCAAGTTATCTTGCCTTTCGGGGCTTCATAGAACACAAAATGGAATTTACCCAAGGCCAGAACCATTTGGATATCTAACACTCCATAATTGGGATTTAAGCCAAAACCCCACAGAGTAACTGCTGGCTCAGTGGTGCAGACGGCTTGCCCTTTGTAGATTTTCCCTGGGGCTGCCAGACTTCCTGGACATGGCTGGAATCTTAAAACAGGACTCCAGAGGGAAATGCAAATGGAGGGGGGACAGCTCTGGAGTTTCCTTGGTGAGCCCATTGTTTCTCTTGGGATGAAAAAAAAAACCACTCTTTATACTGTGAAACTAATCTTCAGTTAATCCGCCTTTGTCTGACAGTCTATGGGTGAAGTGCCTTCTACTGAACAGCGTGGAGAATTGGGATCCATCAGGATTTATCCACAGTCTCCAAGTCAAGCCTCTGCCACAAATCTGGGAGTTGAAAAGGACGGGGGTAGGGGGGGGGCATTCAGCTGAAAATTCCTTCCCCATCTCCCTTGACACTGGGACCCATCTACACTGACACCTGAGGGTACAGGGACAACCCTACCACCTTCCTCCTTGCAGCATTGTGGGTCAAATATACACTTGTCATCTATCTTGGGAACTTAACTATCACTGAAAGCATCGTTTCATGCAAAGAGATTACCTGAAAGTTTTAAGATTAGAATCTCTAAAGGACTTTTGAGATTTTTTTTTCCAGGAACACAGGATATCTGAATCCTCAGGATTGCCTAAGTAGACCTCATTGCTTGGAAGGCAGGGACTTTCCAATAAGGCAGCGTCCTTTCCTGTAAGCACGCCGCCCAGCATAACTGGACTAAGTTATGGGTGCTGAAACAGTGCTCTCTACTGTGTGCATAAATGTACCGTCGTACCGAGAAGCATAGAGGAAAACCCCTACGAATATGGGTGTGCATATGTTTGTATAGACGGAATTATAATTTAATCTATTATCCTCTGTAGAACTCATCTTGAAAATTTCTGTTACCCAGTGTTAGAATGTTTTTGCCCATCTCATTTCACTAACTCTCTTGAGCCTCACCATAAGAGTTAGTGATAGGTGTCTTTTAACTCCTGGGAGGGTTTACCTTGGGACTAGGAAAAATAAAAAAAGACTACTGAAGGGGTGAAAGAAAAATAGAGAAAGAAGAGAAAAAAAGAAAGAAGGGAGGGAGGAAATAAAGGGAGGCCAGAGAGAGGAAGGAGAAAAAAAAGGTGTGTGGGGGGAACATGAAAGAGGAGGGGTAGAGAGAGAGAGATGGTGGGCAAGAAGAAACAGGTAAGCGCGGATGAGCCAGAGGAAGAATGAAAGTCAGACAACCTGGGCAAAGAAGGGAGGGGAGGAGAGGAGGACAGCAATGGAGAGAAGGTGGAAAGAGAGAAAAGCGGGGAGAGAGGGGAAGAGAGAGAGAAAGAGACTGTTTTGCTGAATAATAGTTATTTGGGCAGTTTCAGCTTTATCAAAACAAAATCTCTCAAGTAAGCCAAATCTCCCTCTGCAAATAAATGGCAAATGATCAACAGGCTAAATAGGGTCCTTTTGAAGGAAGGAATCTGGGAGCTGAGGTTGGATTTATTTCCCTCCTGGAGGCAGTTTTCACACATGCCGCTTAAATCATTGCTTACCGAAGCTGTTTATTTAATTATTTAGCACGCTGACTGCAGGCCAGATGTTATATAAGCACGGCCAGCCGGCAATGGCACTGCATGCTGGAACGACATGTTTGTGGATTACAGGCTCTGTGTGCGGCAGTCCCTGAGACCCAGGAATGGATGGTCCTCGATGGTCCAAGTCACCTAGTGGTTATGAATCTCTTGACATCCATCTTCAGCTTTCCTGGGGACAGACAGTGGGGCTCTCTCCCAGCAGGAAAAGACTCTGGGCACAAAAGCACCTGTTTCCCTGTGGTTTTGTTTATGAGCTGGGCTCCAGAAATTTTAGTCACGGTAATGTTTCAGGGCATTTGGGCAACTGGCTTCTCAAAATATCCATCTGGATGCTTTTCTCTCAGCCCTGAAGCCAAACAAATGGCATTTTTGAAGGAAGTATAACCATCCCATTCAGATAAGCACCCCTTCTCCCCTTGCGGTGTGGGGGTGCATGGTGCCTCTCTGTTCACGGTTGCCTCTCACCTACGGAGCACGCAGCATGCACACCACTCAACATTTTAAGCAACCATGAGGCCCATGCTTAGCATTACAGTCATTCCTGTGAATAATCAATCCTTGTTTAAATTTGAGGAATGTGCAGCTTCAGACCCAGTGGGTGCTTTCCACAGCTGTTAGGATCAGATCTCCTATATTAAAAAGGACCACACAAACATTTCCAATGGCTACATCTGCATCTTGCAATTGAGTTATGTTCAAAGTCAGCACATATAGGAAATATGGCATAGATTCAAACTATCATTAGAAGTCCCTTTTAAAACCCATAAAGCACGGCGCATGGCTTTGTACACACTCTGCTCTCCCAATCAATCTAACACAGCCAGTGTTTCCTCCAGCTTCGGAGTGGGGATCTTTTCTTGGTTGAGCAGCAGGACAAGCAGCTGTATTTAGGGGCCACAGCCTGCGAAAAATAGCTTCTCCCCCTAAGCAACTATCATTGGATTTCCCGAGTTAAAATGTGACTAGGTAGGGCTCTCTCCTTTAGGAGACTGATGGAATACATCTTATGTTTTCCTTTCTTGACACAGTCAATGTGTTAGCCAACCTTCTTTCCAAGTTCATGGGATGCTTTATTTGACCTTCAAGTGTATGTTCTCTGAGTGCCTAGCATGGACCTGGCTTTTCTAAGTTCTTTCTCTTCTTACCTGTGATCAGCTGAGTAAGCACTTTAGTCTGATCATTGAGAATGTTCACTGTCACGTTTCTGGCAGATTTGAAGTAGAGGGCATTACCCTGCAATAAGAAAACAAAGGAAACACATGAAAATGGAAGGTTTTTTTTACCTCAAAGAACTATAATCTCAGTTCTCCAAGGAGCTGAACCGGTTTTAGCCAAGTTCCAACCAATGCATGCTATTTGAAAACTCCAACAAATGTTTAATGGTCCCACACACTTGATAATTAAAAGACATACATTCAACATAGAATTCCCCCAGAGGCAGGTGTATGCATGTACACACACAACACAGGTTTCTCTAGAAAACACACACAAGCATGGTGCTATAGTTAAATCAGAGACAATTAGGACACAGAAACCTTTAGATCTTATTGCAGATATAAGCTATCTTTTGTGGACAGAAAAAAATCAGGAATAATCTCCTAACTATGTCCTTTCTAGCTTACAGTTTCAGCAAAAGAATAATGAAGAATCCTTAAAAGAGAACAGATAGCTGCAGCGAAATACCCAAGGTCTTCCCCTTGGGCAAGTCCACCAGCCGTGAGAATCCCATGAACTTGTTTGCAACACATGCATACAAAACCTGGGAATTCTAGACTTTCTGAGTAAATCTTTTCCCATTCTTCCTTTCCTCTTTTCCAGATTACTTTTCCTCCAGGTACCCTGTGCCATTATCCACTTTCCTATTCACCAAAACAACTTAGTTGTTTTGGTGTAAAAATATTCTTAAACAGTACACAGATAAAGGGGCATGGCTGCATTCCAAGTAAACTTCATTCATAGACCATGATATTTCAATTTCACTTCATTTAAATTTTATGTTTAAAATCTAATATATTCTTAATGTGTTGTGATGTATTAATTTTCCTCTGTTTTATTCCCTCCACTCGTAATCTAACAATGAAAAATCCATTTTTACTTTGATGAAAATACAAGAACAGATGGAGGGTTAGATGTAGCTCAAATGCTATTATTTGCTAATCTTGCATTTAGTTTTCTTTTTTACTAATGCTCGTCCACATTGTCTAGTTGTCATTGGAAAAAAATGAATATGGTAGTCATTTCTGTCTTTTTAAACATGGCACACACCTGCCGGAAACTCTGTAATATTCAATACTCAGTATTGAGTCTGTCCAAATGCATGGAACCATTATCCTACCAGAGAGGTGAAACTTAGCCATTACCTTCAAGGTCTTAGTTTCTAATGGGGACAAGTATACTAGCCAGAGAACCCGTAGGGAACTACAATGTATTTGGAGGGCTTTCCAAAAGGGTGGGATTCTTTGCAACTTGGGCCTGGGGAGTGGAAAGACTTCCTAGAGAAGTAGGCATTTGCACTGGTCACTGAAGAGAGCAAGGCTATGCTTTACCAAGTTGAAATGAAGAACAAAGTTCACAAAAGTAAGTATAGGCTCTTTCCTCTTAATATTGGTGAGGCTAATTAGCAAATCCAACTTAGAACCGGTAGACAGAGAGTAGCCGACTGTGAGCTAACAGACAGCTAGTTCCAAGGGCTGAGATGATTTTCACAAGAGGAGGAGAGGGGATGGAGTGGCAACAATGGTATACTGACAGCCTGGATCTGTGGTCATTCTCATCTTAGGCTTTCTGCTAAAATGGACAACCAATACCCATGACTCACTCAGGACCTGAGTAACCAGTTACCTTTGGGTGAGAACTATTGACATAGTGTTGGAGAAAGAGACAAGGGATTTTGATCACTGATCCAGTGCACTCTCCCACCATGGCTTAAAATTTCATTTCCCACGATAAAAAAAAGGTTTCTCTAGCCAGGTGTGTGGTGGCACACACCTGTAATCCCAGTGGTTCAGGAGGCTGAGGCAGGAGGATCTCAAGTTCAAAGCCAGCCTCAGCCACTGAACAAGTCCCTAAACATCTTAGCAAGATCCTGATTCACAATAAAGAATAAAAAGGGCCAAGGAAGTGGCTCAGTGGTTGAGTGCCCCTGAGTTCAGTCCTACTTCAAAAAATAAATCAATATAGATAAATTGTTTTTAATTGGGTCAAGAAAGAAGTACATTTACTCAAATCTTGTCTTTTGTTTTCTGTTGATAAGGAAACAAATATTAGTCTAAAATAATTTCTTCATCATTTTTTTCTGAGTCTGCTTAGCAATTCAACTTAAAGCTTCAAAACAGTTCTTTTTAATTTTTTTGTGTAATTTTTAATTATACATGACAGTAGAATATATTTTGACATATCATACATACATGGAGTATAACTTCCCATTTTTGTATTTGTGCATGACGTGGAATTACATGGATCATGTATCCATAACAAACATAGGAAAGTTATGTCTGATTCATTCTATTGTTTTTCTTATTCCTGCCTTCCTTTTATTCCCTTTTTGTGATCTAGTGAACTTCTATTCCTCCCTCCTCACTGCTTATTGTGAGTTAGCATCTGCATATCAGAGAGAACATTCAGCCTTTTGTTTTTTGGGATTGACTTATTTCATTTAGCCTGATAGTCTCCAGTTTCATCCATTTACCAGCAAATGCCATAATTTTATTCTTTATGGCTGAGTAATATTTCATTATGTGTATGAACCATATTTTTTTTTTATCCATTCATCTGTTGAAGAGCACCTAGGTTGGTTCCATAGCTTAGCTATTGTGAGTTGAGCTGCTAGAAACATTGATGTGGCTGCATCACTATAGTATGCTGACTCTAAGTCCTTTGGTTATATGCTGAGGAGTTGGATAACTGGGTCAAATGATAAGTTTTCTGATTAATCTCCATACTGCCTTCCAGGGTGGTTGCACCAATTTCAATTTGCAGTCCCCCAGCAATGTATGAGAGATCCTCCTTCCCCAAATCCTTACCAAACCTTTACTATTATTTGTGTTCTTAATAATTGCCATTCTGATTGGAGTGAGATAAAATATTAGTGTAGTTCTAATCTGTATTTCTCTAATTGCTAGAGATGTTGAACATTTTTTTCATATATTTGTCGACTGATCATATTTATTCTTCTATAAAGTGTCTGTTCAGTTCCTTTGCCCATTTATTAATTGGGTTATTTATTTATTTATTTTTTGGTGTTAAGTTTTTGCTTCCAAAGAATTCTGATGAAGTATGAATTCACGATCTAGAACTTAAAACCTGGAAAGGAGTTATGTTTTCAGGAGTTAATTCACTAAAGTTCCTCTTTATATATCCATCAGCTTTATAGTTCAGAGAGAAAAATGGCCTGAAATCAGGGAACTGGCTAAATCTCCTGCCACCAATTACTGTGTGACCCTGCTGAAATCAGCTCAGTCCCAGTCTTTGCATTTTCCACCATCAACACCAATATCATTGTCAAGTTCATCACTGCCATGACTGAGCACTCTGTGGGCCAGGTGTGCAATAGGAGATCTGGAGTCCAACTACTTCCAATCCCAACTTTACCACTTGGGAGTGGACATTAAGCAAGTTACATAACTGTTCCAGTCCTCATCAAAAAAAAAAAAAAAAAAAGATTGGTGCAAAATTAGTTATCAAATTACCAAAATACACTTAATACTGAGATCATTAAGATTCCCAGATAAAATTATTCAAAAACAGGTGATTCCAGATGTGATTATGAATGACGCATGCATGTGGTCCAGTGCTGGGCACACGTGAAGTCCTCAGTAATTTTTAGGGCAAAGAAAGGAGGAGAAAAAGGGAAGTAGTAAAGGAGATAAGAGGGAGAGAGGAAAAGGGAAAAGAGAAGGAAGAGGAAAAAGGCAGGAGAGGAGGGAAAAGGAGGCATGAAATAGAGTGGGAGAGATGGAGAGAATGGAGAATGATCTTACTTCTGTCCCTAATTTCCCCAACCCATCAGTAAGGCAAATCAAGGGTTTTCTCCATTTCCAACATTCTGTTTTTATATTTCAAAGGTTTTCCTACATCCAGTTGGCTTACCACCATCCTTCAAATCCCAGTCTCTCCCAATACTACCTGCCTGTCCTTACAACTATTTAAGTATTTCTATCACGGACAAATCCAACAGCTTTGTCCAAGATTTACAGCACGAGATATAATAAAACCACCCATTCCCTTTTTATTACCTTGTCAAAATGTTATAGTTTGGCATTAATTGTTCTAATATGCTAACATCCTGGGAAATAGAATCTTTGCTGTATCAGGGCTTTAACAAAGAACCTTATTCTCGCCTGGTACTGTTGCTGCAATCCTCACGTATACTTATATCAGAAAGATTGCCAGGAAAAATGCAAGAACCTGTTAACAAAGTGAAGAGCCCCCCGGGGTGGCTGGGACCCTGTGATTTTTATTTTGTTTTCTGACTCTGCCTATGGAGACCTGGCAGGAAAACACCAGCCAAGCCCAGCCTCTGGGAAACACTCTGATATCTGATGAGAAGCTAACTTCTGCCCTTTCAGCCTTCCCTCTCTCCTCTGCATTCCCTCCTGCTCACCACTGTGACTCGTGCTTGCTGACCTCAAGGTAACTACGGCCAGAAAGGAGTCTAGCTGCCCCTCATGGGATGATAAGGAGGGTCAGTTCAAGTCAGTCTGCAGCCAATCGGCTTGTGATTCTTCTGGACACAGAATGTAGGATAGAGAACAGAGGCAACATGCCACCCTCTCACAAAGGAGAAGGACAAGGACGCTCAATGTGCACATGCATCTAAGTGCCCACACTGTGCACATTTTGATGGAGAGGAAGTCCACCTCATTTCTCTCTCTCTTTAAAGGAGACTAAGCAGAACTGAATCAAATCCTGTCTTGATGACTTGGGGCTAGTGAAATGAACATTGTTTTTCCACCACATCTCCCAGGGGCTACTATATGTGGCTCTTTGAACACCGAATGGCTCCATTGTGTGACATTTTTAAATTATTGTACCTGATTGCTAAAAACATCTAATTTATCCTCATATCAAAGCAGAATGCATAAATGTCAAATGCTACAAGGCTTGTAACAAAAAGCAGCAATCCGCACCTCTCCCTCTTGCCAGAGCTTTTAACTTCTATGTTTCTGTCAGGTGTTTCTCTTCCTTTGGCCCAAAATATGCTTCTATGCGACATTTATTAACTTTAGATGCTA